CATGAAGGGTGTAAGAGAAACCCTTTGACAGGAGGACAGGAGAGCCCATGTTGTGGCTTTCTAAGGCTGAAGCTGTCACCATTGTTAAACAAAATAAGGCACTGCCTCAAAGTATCCATCTGCTTGCCACTTCTTGCCCAGAAACAGCCTGCATTTTGATCTGTGCCCCAGAAGTTAACCTTAGCTACGGATGGCACCTTTTTGTTGTTGTTTTGTTTTGTTTTTGAGACAGGGTTTCTCTGTGTAGCTTTGTGCCTTTCCTGGAACTCGCTCTGTAACCCAGGCTGGCCTTGAACTCACAGAGATCTGCCTGCCTCTGCCTCCTGAGTGCTGTGATTAAAGGCGTGGGCTACCACCGCCCAGCTGGATGGCACTTTTTAAATCTTCTTGCATTCAGGATTTGGGTTAGATTGGACCAATGGGAGGAGTTACCCGAGACTCAAGGGCAGATGGAAGGGGAGAGATACATCCATTATCTGCTAGTTAGGAGCTCCATCCTTCCAGAGTGACCCTTCCAAGTGGAATCCAGCTTTCACTGGGCTCCTGTGCCCTTTCCCTCCCCTGGTCTTTTGTCCTAGGGGAAGAAGTAGTGCTGTTGTCTGCTGCTGGTCTCTGGGAGCCACATCCCTTTGCTGGCTCTCTGGTTCCCACCCCACTGATATAAATGACAATTCCATTCAAGTCTTCTCTGCTGTGAGATGTCTTTCTGTATGCTGTGAATATGTGTTGCTCTGATTGGTTGATATTAAAGTCATTTGGCCTATGGCAAGTCAGGTTATAGCTAGGTGGGAAATTGAAGAGGCAACAGGAAGAAGAAAGGGAGAGGCAGAGGAGACGCCAGCCACTGCCGAAGGAACAACATGCCTGCAGACCGGTCAAGCCGTGGAACATGGGGCAAAACATAGCTTAATAGAAATGGGTTAATTTAAGATATAAGAGCTAACTAGCAAGGAGCTTGAGCCATAGGCCATGGCTATACGTTTGTAAATAACATTAGTTAGTGGTGAGTATACTAACTTAGGTGGGTTTGGTTCTCTGAGACAGCAAAGATGCAGGCTGATGAGAGGGCAGGATCCAGGGATAAGCTGCGGATACAGGAGCAGAGTGAGGGATCAAGCCCCGAAGTGGAGGTGGGTCTCAGGGACCTGTGCAGTGTTCCTTGCCTCTGATGTGTGCTGGTGCTGAAAGCTGGAGACATCTTCCTGTGAGAAAGGAACAGGCTCTGTGGGCGGTGGGATCTTTGGGAGGGGCTTAAATTCTGTTCCCGAGTGGGTTCTCTGGTGGATAGGTTGTCTTAAAAGAAGGTACGTTACAAAGTCCAGGTCAGCTTTGTCTCTTGTATGCACCACGTGCTGTCCTGTGCTGTCTTAGAATTCTACAGAGAGTCCTCACCAGCTGAGGCCCACATCAACTATATACCCCTACCCCTAACCTTGGACATACCAATGCCTCACATGCTTATAAATAAGATTCTTTTCTTCATCATTTACCCAGTTTCAGGTACTCAGTTCTAACTGCAGAAAATGGTCTAAGACAGGGGGTTTAGGAAGAATTTCTGATGGGCCAGCCTCTCGGCCATTTGACCCAGTAGTTTCTCTTAAAGTACTTTATGCCTGCAAATGAGTCAGGAACCAGGGCACCATGGCTCCCAGCTCCACTTCTGTTACCCTTGCTGCTGGTGATCTAGTGGGTACCTGAACCCAATTCTCTCCCAATCCCTGGACATCACTGCACTTCTCTGGTGTTTGTAACAGGGACGGAATGGGGCAGGCCCCAGTTTCCTTCCGTGCCTTGTCTTGTCCCTTTCCGTGTCCCTACCCTATGGGTAAGCGGGAAGGTATACATTTTTCATTAAGGTGTTTCCTGCAGCTAAGTAAGAGGTGGCATTTGCCATTCTCAATTCACAGGGCAGCCCAGGACAAGTTCTTCTGGGTCTACATATCTGTGCGTTTACAGGCAAGCCTCTTCCTCCTTCCTATTTCTCAGGGAGGGATGCTGAATTGAGTGGAAGGCCATGTGACTGTCATAGTGGGATTGTCAGCGACAGCTGACACATGGAGACAGAGACACAGGTTTTCCTTCATAATTTGCCCAAGATCGCTGAGACCACATCTCCTAGATGGAGCTGAACATCATCTGTGTTGAAGGGATCCTTTCTTTTTTCTTAGTTGTCTTCATGTTGTATGTTTGAGTCTGTTGGAAGAAATAGCATTGCCAGCCAAGTGTGGTGACACACACCTTTAATCCCAGCACTCAGGAGATAGAGGCAGCTGGATCTCCATGAGTTAGAAACCAGCCTGGTCGATGGGTATTGGTGGCACACACCTTTAATTCCAGCACTTTGGAGGTAGAGGTAGGCAGATTTCTGTGAGTTCAAGGCCAGCCTGGTCTACATAGTGCATTCCAGGACAGCTAAGACTATATAGAGAAACCCTGTCTTGAAAAACAACAACAACAACAAAACCAAACCAAAACAACAACAACAAAAGGCACCAGCCTTAAATACCTAGCAAGATCCAGGAAAGCCAGAGCTACTTAGAAAGATCCTGTTTCAAAAAACAAACAGATCAAAAAACAAACAACAAAAAGAACAGAAAAGAAATAGCATTGTCTATTAGCAAGAGTGTCTCACCGTGGCTTTGCAAAGATCATCATCTTTCTTTGGACATGTCACATAAGCACTCCGCTAAACATTTGTCAGTGCTGTTCTCCTTTCCACGGTGGGATGAAGAGGTGGGCGTGTGCTTTTCTTCCTCCCTGCCTGTAACAGCACTATGGAGCTACCGGCCTGTAGTTACCAGGGTTCTGGTGGGGAGAAAGCTTTTTTCTTAAGACATGTGGTCTGCAGAAAGTGTGGGCTGTGGCTTCGGTAAGTGTGTGCATTTCCATCAGCAGGGCTCCCTCTTCAAGGGCTTCAATCTACATCAAAGGGACAGACTTGGAAGGAGGGGAGGCAGGGATGCTGCAAGAAATGACCGTTTGGCTAATTAAAGTCTTAGACCTTAAGGTTTCATTTAGCTAGTGCTCCAAGCTGTGTGTTATGACAAGCAAGGTCTGAACTCAAGAGACGGGACTCAATTCTCTTTCTTCACAAGAATGCCCAGTAAAGTGATTAAACAAAGAATTAGAAGATATTACACACACACACACACACACACACACACACACACACACACACACACACACACACACACA